ATGGAACAGTGCTTTTTGTTTCATTGTTATTGAAATCATATTTGTATTTTTCAAAAGTGTATATACTTAAAAATTCCTAAATAAAATGTCTTTAATACAGCATTTTAGTGGTTATAAGGATCAATACTATGAGATGATAAGAAAAAAGGACCCACGGCCCTAAAATGTTGATAAACATTGTGACCATATTCCCCATCTTGGAGTCATCATAATACACACATTACGATGATAAAAGTACTAAAAAGTTACGTAGTAATGTTTCTCAGACTCACTTGTTTACAACCCTATTTTTTATGTGTTATCTATCAACAGCATGCTTTGCAATGTTTAGTGTACTCTTCATACTCATGATCTATACAAATAATTATTTTTATTTTAAAGCAGGACAGAAGGAGCAAGCTGTGGAATGGTATAAGAAAGGTATTGAAGAACTGGAAAAAGGAATAGCTGTCATAGTTACAGGACAAGGTAAGATTATATTTGTTTGGCTGGGCGTGGTGGCTCACGCCTGTAATCCAAGCACTTTGGAGGCCAAGGCGGGCGGATCACCTGAGGTCAGGATTCAAGACCAGCCTGACCAACGTGGGGAAACCTTGTCTTTAAATTAAAAAATATATATATTATATTTGTTTATAGCCATCCCAAATTATAATATATTCACATGATTGTCTAGATTTCAGATCTCTTTAATCTATTTATTTCTTTTTCTCCTTTCTTCCTTTCCTTTCACTTCTCCTCCCCTTCCCCTTCCTTCCTTCCTCCCTCCCTCCCTCCCTTCCTCCCTTCCTCCCTTCCTTTCCTTCCTTCCTTCTTCTCTTCCCTCCCCTATCCCTCTCCCTTCCTCTTCCCCTTTTCCTTCCCCTTCCTTGCTTCCTTTCTTTTTCTTTTCTTTTTTTTTTTTGAGACAGGGTCTTGCCTTTGTTACCCAGGCTGGAGTGCAGTGATATGGTCATAGCTCACTGCAACCTCAAACTTCTGGGCTCTAGTGATCCTCCTGCCTCTGTTTCCCAAGTAGCTGGAACCACAGGTGCACACTACCACACTTAGCTAATTATTATTATTTTTTGAGATGGAGTCTCACTCTGTTGCTGAGGCTGGAGTACAATGGTGCAATCTCAGCTCACTGCAACCTCTGCCTCCCAGATTCAGGCAATTCTCCTGCCTGAGCCTCCCAAGTAGTTGGAATTACAGGCGCATGGTACTGCGCCCAGCTACTTTTTGTATTTTTAGTGGAGATGGCATTTCGCCATGTTGGCCAGGCTGGTCTCAAACTCTTGACCTCAAGTGATTCTCCCAACTTGGCATTGCAAAGTGCTAGGATTACAGGTGTGAGCCTCTGTGTCTGGCCACACATAGCTAATTAAATTTTTTTTCTTTTTTTTGTAGAGACAGGGGTCCCACTATTTTTCTAGGGCTGTTCTCAAACTTCTGGCCTCAAGTGATCTTTCCGCCTCAGCTTTCCAAAGTGCTGGGATTACAGGCATGAGCCACTGCACCCAGCCAGATTGTATTTATCTTAATAAAAGTATTTGTACATTTTTTAATGTTACTGTTAACATTCGTGGACTTACAGTTAATTCATTGTTACTTATTCTAAAAATGAAGTTATAGTTAGATATGCTCAAACTTGATTACCTGTAGCATTAGGCAAAAACTACTATATTATTTGTGTCCTCGTTGGTGTCACTGTTGGTGTTCAGTCACCACGTACTATTTTTGAAATCTGGCCCTTTCCTCATTGTCAAGGAGGGAAAGAGTGATTAATCCACAAATTTCCTTTGCACTTGTAAATAATGCTTCTTGACTGCATTTTAGACTATGAGCTGTAAATGTCTTATTTTGATTCACACTGGGTTTTTAAATTTGTTTTGTTTTGTTTTTTTGATAGAAAAAGGGTCTTGCTATGTTGGCCAAGCTGGTCTTGAACCCCTGGCCTCAAGCGATCCTCCCACTTCCGCCTCCCAGAGTACTGGGGTTACAGGTGTGAGCCACTGCACCTGAACTCACTCTTGGCTTTTTTTTGAGACAGAGTCTTGCTCTGTCACCCAGGCTGGAGTGCAGTAGTGTGATCTTGGCTCATTGCAGCGTCTGCCTCCTGGGTTCATGAGAATCTCCTGCCTCAGCCTCCCAACTAGCTGGGACTACAGGTGTGCACCATCATGCCTAGCTAATTTTTTGTATTTTCAGTAGAGATGGGGTTTTACCATGTTGGCCAAGCTAGTTTCAAAGTCATCCACTTGCCTCAGCCTCCCAAAGTGTTGGGATTACAGGTGTGAGCCACCGCGACTGGCCACTCGTGGTTTATTTTAAAACCGAAGCAGTCATTACTCATTTCTATTTTCCTATCACCTCAAATTAAAAAATTAGAGTCTAATATTGTCTTTAAATATATTGGCCAGGCACAGTAGCTCATGCCTGTAATCACAGTGCTGTGGGAGGCCTAGGCAGGAGGATTGCTTGAGGCTAGGAATTCAAGACCAGCCTGGGCAATAGAGCAAGATCTCTATCTCAACAACAACAATAAATGTATATGTGTATATATATAATATAAAACATTTATTGTACACTTCCTGTATGCCTAAGCATCATTGTAATTGCTTAATATGTAGTATTTCTTTTTTTTTTTTGAGACGGAGTTTCACTCATGTTACCCAGGCTGGAGTGCAATGGCGCGATCTCAGCTCACCGCAACCTCCGCCTCCTGGGTTCAGGCAATTCTCCTGCCTCAGCCTCCTGAGTAGCTGGGATTACAGGCACGCGCCACCATGCCCAGCTAATTTTTTGT